GTCTGTTCATTTTTCTTTATTCTTTTTTCTGAGCTTTCCTCGAAAAGAGTTGTATCCATGTGTTTGTCTTCAATTCCACTGATCCTGTCTTCCACCATTTCATATCTGCTCCTCTGCCCTTCTATAACACTGTCCGTTTCTGAAATCTTGTTGTTTATCTTTTGGATTTCTAATTGTTGCTTTTGTATGATTTCTAGTTGTGAATTTATTATGGCATTTTGTTCCTGCATTATTTTCCTGAATTCTTCCATTTTTTTGTCTGTATTTTCCATGAATTTGTCTGCTTTTCCATGAATTTGTCTATTTTTTTCCTCATTTTTGTGTGCTTTTTGCTTCAACTCTTGGATAATTCTGAGTATTAGAGATTTGAATTCCCTATCAGGTAGTTCTAGTGCCTTTTCTTCCACTGGAAATTCATATGGTTTTTCATTTTGGATGCCTACTGGAACCATCCTGTCCTGACTTTGTTAATGTTTTGATATTGTTTGCTGTCTTCAGGGAATTCAGTAGTTATTTTTCTTGTTTATTGATTGTAGATTTCTTTGTTTCATTCTTTTTTTTTTTTTAATTTGGCTATGTCTGAGCAGGCAGGCTGTGTGTTCTTTGTTGTTTGCTTGTCTGTGGGCATGATTGTTTTCAAGTACTTCTCCAATTGGCAGGGTCAGTTGCTCAGATATGGTACTGCAAGGCAGGTCTAGCTGAAGAGGAGTTGCTGGGATGGGTTGTTTGTGGCACTTACTACAGCCACCAGCGCAGGTTGGTAATCAGTGCAGGGCAGGTTCCTGTAGGCTGTGCCTGTGCTGCTTAGTGGTGTGATGTTAAGCGCACGGTGCAGGTAGGCAGGATGGAGGAGGGAGATTGTGATGTGTGGAGTTAAGATGGATATTGGATAGAGGAGAGAGGAACAGGAGCCAAAAACATACAAAAAAAAAAGAGTGCTAGGGGAGCTTGCCATTGGAGTGGAGGGAGAGATGATAAGACTATGAAATGGAGAAAATCAAAAAGAGGAGGAAGACAAAATAAAAGAAAAGAAAAGGAAAGAATGAATAAATAATAATTAGAAAGAAAAAACAACAGCAAAGCTCCCAGGGATCCCACCGGTGAGGCTACGGGGTCTGGTGAAGTTGTTCTCAGGTGTTGCAGTACAGCCTGGCTAGAAGGCGTAGAGGTATTCAGTATCAAGTATTCCGGGGACAGGAAAAGAAGGAAGTTATAGAGAGAGGAGAAACTGAGTAATGAAGAAAGACAAAAAGGGAAAAAGAGGGAAAAGAAAAAAAAAAAACAAATTCGAAAAAAGAACACAAAAAGCCACCCAAAAAAACAGGAAAAAAAAATGAAGAGAGAAATGCCCTAAGGGATCCCTCTGCACATCTGGGCAAGCTGAGGGGCTAGGACCCAAGCCGCGTAGCACCACCCTGCCAGAACGGGCTCCCAAGTTGAGAAAAGGAAAAGGAAACAAACAAACAATTCAAGACAAACAAAAGACCCGGGATCCCACCAACGTGGCAGCCCAGACCAGGAATCAATTTGACACTGGAACGGAGCTCTGCAGCCCCTTAGGAAGAAGCAAAGATGGCGTACGGAGCCAAGTATTTGAGCGAAAGGAAGGGGAGGTGGTAAGACGTAAGGAAGAAATCAAAAGAAGTGGAAAAAAGCAACACCAGCAGCCAGCAAATGGCACTCAGGGAGTCGGCCAATGTGGGCGGGTGGAATCCAAGCAGCCGGTGCTTCAGGGCCAAGAAACTGTGGCTACGGGAAGCAGAGGAGGCCGAGTGGGGGTGAAGAAGGGTCGGGGGGTGGGAAAGCATGTATTGCCAATTACCGGTTGTTCTGTCTCCTGCTGGAAGCTCCGTGAAGCTGCTTTCTTGTTCCCCCAGTTCACTGGTCTCTGATACGAGTCCAAGATGGAGGATCCGTGCTGTGTTAGCTGATAGGGGACCTCTGCACGAACCTCTCCTCGCTCTCCGTTCTCTGTCAGTTTTCTCACTCCTTTTGGTGCTTGGCTGAGTTCTTTATCTCTTCATTTGATGTTTTAGGGTTTCAGGATTGCTGTTTTCTCTGTTTGACTTATTTTTTTGGATCTTTGCTGTGGAGGGACGGCATGGCACTTCTGCCTAGAGTGCCATGTTGCCGGAAGTCTCAGATTTACAAAATTTTTGGAAATTAAAGGGATAAAGTTTCAGTTATTAGACAACACTCCTAGTCATAATGATCCCCTGAGGGTTTCCGATAACCAAACTCAGGCTCTATTAAGAAAATTAACATGAGACTAGAAGATATTTACTAGGTATAAAAGAGGCTAGAACAGGCAATTAATCCTTCTTCTCTGTTCAATGGAGATTAGGTTCTCATGATACTGTTACAAATTTGAGCTCCCACAGTTAAAACAGATTTTAAAATACTGGAAAGGGTTCAAATAAGACCAAGAGAAGTGATTAAAGAGGTTGTCAGTTTTCACAGGTAAAGGTAAAATGTTTCTATACTTGGAGCAAGTGAAGGTTCAGAAATGATAACTTCTGCTTTCAAGCATACACTAATACAAGTACTTTGCTTATTAAACTGTCACAAACTTGAACTTCAACTGTATTAGTAGTTAGTGTTCTGAAGCTTAAGGAGGGTACCATTTTGACAGCAATAGCTCATCAATGGATAGTGTGAAAATGTTATTTCTAAAAATAGGGTTTTACAGGTTCACCAAGAGCCCTCCATAAAGCAAAGGACTAGATCTTACCTCTCTAACATCTAACACCATGTGCAAAGCACTAGATTAAATAATGCTGAAAAAGAAAGCTGTGTTAGGTATTTTCAAGGATATCCTATTAATCTGTTTTTATTCTGTTGTTGTTAGTTGTTGTCCAGTCAGCTCCAACTCATGGTGATCTTATGTATAACAGAACAAAACATTACTTGGTCCTGTCTTATCTTCATGATGATTGGTATGTTTGAGTCCATTGTTGAGGCTATGGTGTAGTGCCTTCCAACCTAGGGAGCTCATCTTCCAGCACTATATCAGACAACATTCTAGTGTGATCTATGAGATTTCATCACCTACTTTTCAGAAGTAGATCACCAGTAGATTTACTTCTAATCTGTCTTAGTCTGGAAGCTCCATTGAAACCTGTCCACCATATGCGACATGTATTTTAAATAATGGTGGCATAGCTTCCAGCATCATTGCAATATGCAAGACACCACAGCATGACAATAGAGCATCTGAAAAAAAAAAGCATAAAATCTTGTCACAGGTAAACAGGACTTGAAATAAAATCTGAGGTAGTGAGAGCTGCCACCATCTTTTATGGCCACTCATATTCCTCAGACTTGCCTCGTTGATGTCTATGGACCTGAGCCAGTTTGGTTTTCTCTTTCTTTGTGTCTCATGGGATGTTGAATAGCTTAACATCTGAGTCTTTTTTCCCCCCATCTGTGAATAGTGATAACCACTCTGCTTAAGACTTGTGTTGAGAAAATTAAGAATATTATATGAAATACCTAACACACAATGTGGGGCATTATTGCTAAAGAGAGCCAGCTTGGGAACTCAGATTCAGGCTTCTTCTCAAGATGCTTCTGAAAGTAGCCTCTCTGTGATGCAATGGAATTGACAGGATGAGGGAAAGAAGCCCCTCCCTAAGAGATGGCCTCTACTTTTTGAGAGGTCTTGACAACTTCATATCTTACTTAGGATCACTGTTTTTTGCCCAAATAAAATTTGCCCCAAGAAAAATAATACACACTGAAAGCAAATCATTTAGAAGTAATTTTGGACAGTGAAGATGATGAATGAGAATTCTCCAAACAAATGGGCAAAGAGGTTTTTTGGGGAGGAAAGGTGGGAAAAGGACAGGAAGGAGAATGAGGGAATCCTGAAGACAGATTTTCTTTTCCTCAGCAGTTTGTGCAGGCCCAAACTGGCTTTCCCAGCTGCTAACTGAAAGGTCGGAGGTATGAACACAGCCACTTTGTGGGAGAAAAGACCTGGCAATCTGCTCCCTTAAAGATTGTTGTTTGTGTGCCGTTGAGTCAATTCTAACTCATAGAGCCCCTACAGGAAACCCTATGGGGCAGTTCTACTCTGTCACATAGGGTCGCTATGAGTCTGAATCTACTCGACGGCAACTTAACAATAACAACATTCACATCTGGTCATGAAGGAAAGAGACCTTATGCACAGGTGAGAGCCAGACTTATGAATTTATGTAAAGCCTACCAGAATACACGATGCAGGACACATTTTTCTCTAGAACTTTTACAGTATAAAAATGAGGAATGAAAATTTAATAAATATATACTTTCTCTCCCTAACTGTAATAAAACCCAGTTTCACAAACTGTGTCAGGTACCAGGAGCCTAAAACAAATCTTGTATTCTAGAAGGAAAAAAAAAAAAAATTACGTAATTTGATTTGTTTGGCCCTGTTAGATAAGAGAGAAATAAGAGCCTTTCTTTTTAAAACACTTTGGTCATATTTAAGCATTATTTCTGAACACACTTTTTGTAAATTTTCGTGCAAAAGGTTTATTGTTTCTTTGTTATCAAAGCGTTCCAAGTGATCCAAATAACTTGGATATCTCTTTTTACCTACCGAACATTAAACAGGTAAGGCTTTTGTACTATTTACTAAATTTCAGTTAACATTAATGAAAAGTGAAGAAAGCAATTCAAGACATGCAAGTTTGGAAAAATTATTTCTTATAAGAACTTTCCTATAGTATTACTGCATATATTAATTTTATTTCTTAATTGATGCTTTTCTTATAGATGAAATATGTTAAAACCAACTTCTGCCAGTTAAAAAAATTTAAGGTTATGCATTAGCAGTTCTATCTTAAAATAATTTTGAAAGCTTTATATACTCTATAGTTTGGATTCTACTGCTTAGCTTGAGTGACTATAAAATGATTTGAGGTTTTTAAGAACTGAGAAGCATTTCTCAAGGTTAGCTTTTCCAAACAGAAAATTGAGTGTGATAAATTCCACCTCCCACAGACCCAGAATTCACATCCATTGGTCAGGGGCAAATACCACTGGCTCTGCGTTCTCAGTCACTTCGTGCCATTTCACCAAGTAGGAGCCAAAGGTAAGTTTTTACACTTGCTTTCTTGTTGGGTTAGAGCCTTTCCCCCCTCACCCCCAACTATAACAGGCTTTAAAAAATAATTCAACTTGCTTTAATCTCTCATGGTGAACTTTGATTCAATCAAGTTGGTTTAATTTTGCTATTGACTTTATACTATTCTTGGAAAATCCAAAATCCTGAATTAGCTTAGGAATTAATAACATACAGCAACATAGCTGATCTTAATAGCCATGACAGATGCCAATAAAATTACAGTAGTTTCCGATATGCACCCTTAATCAAGGGCATGGACACAGACCACATCCTTTGCTGCTATAGACAGGCACTATTGATTTATATTGATTGAAATATTATGCAAATGGAGAAAAGGTGAGGTTTAAGGTGTTTAAAAATATTCTAATGATCATCTTGCATTATGTATGTAGAATGTGTTTTTTTAAAGTTTTATATAAACATACATTTTAAAATATTATTAAATGGAGTAAAGTGCAAAAAAATTCAAAATTTCAACAAAGAAACTACATTGCATACTAATATAATTACTTAAAAGAAGGAATATAACTTTTATAACTAAACATAGGTAGATTCTCTTCACATTTCTAAGATTCATACAGTTACCTTATCACTGGTAGCTTTAGGAGATATGCCAAATTCAAGTAAACCGTGATAAGTAGCCATTTATAATCAAATGTAGACTGTGAAGTGAGAAAAAGCATCAGCAACTGCATGCTTTCTCTGAATAATGAAAGTTGCCAGACATATACAACAAAAACGTATTTTTTTTTTTAGGTTAGTAGTGGCCCCTGTTAATGCTTTCCGTTTGAATTTGGAAGAAAGGTTCCTGGAAGGTTTGCAAATTACACTGTTTTATTAAGTAGAACTTTGCTGGTAATTGCCTAGAACAGTTGCAAATCTGCAATTCTTCAACGACCTCTGTAAAGGCAAGTAAAATAGAGGCTTGGTTTTTCCAGTGTGAATAAAAAGTTTATTTGAAGAACACATAGGAGGGGATAAAAATGAGCTCCTTGTACTGCTCCTTATGCTCAGAGGAATTTCATATCCTTCTGCCTCAACTTGCTTCATAAGGACTTTCATTCAAGTGACTGAAGGTCAGTTTGTCTGCCAGTGAATTCAACTAACATTTATCATGAATTCCATTCTATATGTGTGCATAGGTACAAACACCATATGCACTGTTATTCAAGTAAAACCAAAAAGAGTATCCAAGACAGAAAACCTTTTAAAATTAAAAATCCTTGATAAAAAGTTCTACAGTACTTTACATGCTAATAAATGACTACTAGGTAACATTTTAATTGTTTAAAATTAAACTTGAGAATTATTTCTTCTAAGCTGAATATATTCAAAGCAATACATACAAATCTAAAATAGTTAAAATTATAATGTCTTGACTGAGCACCCATAAACATGATGTTATAAAATAAGAATAGTGTTTATTAAAGAAATATAAAACTAAATATTATTCTAATCTTACATGTGTGCAAATTTCTCCAAGAAAACCTTGCCATATAGTGCCTTTGAAAGTGTGTTCCTATTAGCTTTGAGTTCAAATCTTAGATAGCTATTAAGAAGTGAAATGAAACACAAAACTACAGGGAAAAATGCTTTCTTTTTTGCTCTATTGAATTAAGAACATTGTGCATGAAATACATTAAATTATGTATGAATTAATGATACCCAGAGGCAACAAAGAAGTAATAGGAAAAAAATCATTATTATTTTGTTCTGAAAAAAACGCTGGCTTGAATTCACAAGAAACATGTCTGTTTCCTTATCTGTAAAATGGTACAGCAGTCATAGCAATCATCATTATCACCATCTTAATCATCATAATCATCATCATCCCTATCTCCAGAGTTGATGAAAGGATCTAGTGGAACTTAAATGCTTATTAAAAAGTAAAAATCTTAGCTAATAAAAAGCCTATTGTGAGTAAGCATATCATAATCTTTCTGCTTCCCATTTTCCCAATTGTTCTCTATAAAATGTCTCCTTTATAAAAACTTTGAGAGGTTTATGAATTAATGTGAACATCTGGTGTCAATGGTCCTTAGAAACCATATAATTTCATGTGTTATGTTTATAAATTATCCACGTAAAGAAAGCTACCAGCTTGAGTTCTCAGTGCTGACATTGATTTAGCAATTCCTATTTAGTGCGATGATTGTGAGGATGGTGCAGGACCAGGCAGTGTTTTGTTCTGTTGTACATACGGTCGCTACAAGCCACAACTGACTGGACGGCACCTGACGACAACATTTAGTGCAAGTTATTCATGAGTTATTCTCGATTAAATGTTTATGCATTTTAATATGTTACCATTAGGAAAGTTTGAAAAATGAAAACCTTTGCAAGACTTGTTCTGGGACTTGTCATCTTTGATGTTGCTGTGGCTGCTCCCACTCCAGAGCCCATCAACTATGACTCAGAAACCTATGATGCCACCTTGGAAGACCTGGATAATTTATACAGCTATGAAAACATACCCATTGATCAAGCTGAGGTAATTGATCTCTCCCACTCTTAAGATATTTAAAAGCCCTGTATGAGGGCTGGTTTGGATTTGTTCTCATCATACACGTTTTGTTTATATATAAGTAGAGATGTTCTATCTTAATAATTTCATATTAACTTTTTCTCTAAAGCTCATTAACTATGTTTAAGTCTAATTTTGGGACAGTCTTTGCTTTCTTACAGTTTATTTCATTTTCTTAATATCTCCCTATCAATAGAATAGAGAAAAGTTGGAGGAAAAGGCAATCAGAAAAGAAAAGAGTTAAAATAATTAGCAATGCAGAAATTTGGGGTAAAGGAGAAAGATGTGAGATTACAATAAATCAGAATAAAACAAAAAGAACACAGTGAAAAGACAATGGTTTGGAACTTCATGGAATCGCAAGAGTGAATGTACCCTAAATGACTGATTATCTTTCTAGCAGTAATGTGGGTAGTGGCAAGGTTACAGTCCATTACATAAATCTGATGTGACATGTTCATAATTAAATGCTAGGCTTTTCACATAACTAAAGGATACAGACTAAATTTTTCTGAATCACAAAATAAACAGACCTTGAAATACTGGAATGAAATTAATGTACAACATTGACAAAACTAACTATAAATAAACAAAAGGGAAATTACATCACTTTTACAAGATCATAACATATTTTGGGCAGTCTTTCAAGTGTAAATCTTCTTAGAATAACTACTTCTGAAAACCAGGGATATGAAATATTTAGGCAAAAGCATGTATCTAAATTCTATGTAATTTAAGATTGTAAATATTTCCAATACTGTTTGTGCTACCTTATGAAATAAAAAGTCAGATGTTCACAATAAGTTTTCATAGATTCTCTCTCTCCTCAACCCCGTCTTTCTCTCTCTCTCTTTTGCCTTCGCTCCCTCTCTGCCTCTCCCTTCCCTTATTTTTTAGTAATTTTTCAGGCTCAACAGGAGATCGCTTTTCTTCTGAACATTTGGTTATGACTCCATTTTTTAAGTCGATTAATCTTCATTTTTTTGTTTACTTCACTGTATGGCTCCTATTATGTTAAGGAGATTTTCTGTTGAAACTTTGTGGTTATTAACACCAATCTTGCTCTATTTGACCTCTACATCTTCAACCTTATGCATAAATGTATAGTATAAGAACGTTTTCCAGTGCTTAACACATCTGCTCTGTTCCTCTTTCCATCTTTCATATTTAAAAAAAAAAACAAAAACTATTGGTGAATATCTGCATTTATCTACCAAATAAAATTATTTTAGTTCAAACTTATTTTGCTATTCCTCCAGTTTGATGACTACCATAAGCACATAGTCTATTTCTTATTTTGCTATTCCTCCAGAATGACAAAGTTTGATGACTACCATAAGCAGATAGTCCATTTTGAGTAGGGTTGGGAAGTGGTGGCACAGGTTCCTTGCATTCCCTTCAGAAAGCCAAATGCACCAAAGAGGGAATACTGTTTGAAACTAGGGTTGCCCTAGGCAAAATTTTGAAGTAGATAAGCTTTATCTGCAGAACTCTTTTAACCCATCCCTCCTGCCAGGATCCTTTTCACTGCACCGAAAACCCTAAGATTCTCATGACGTTCTAAAATTTGAAATTTGAACTAAAAATAAACATATTTATGTCTATGATTATACATTTATATAAAGATGATTTAATATACAGTTTTTCCTTAGTATTCTGGAATAACAGCCTTGCTGCAAGTTAACAAATATGTGGTATTTTATTCTGTGACACCTCCTGCTCTTAGCCTATGCAAGTATGTCTAATTTTCCACAAAATTCTTTTGCACTAGCCTAGACAAACCCAGAATCCTTAACAACGGAGGACTCCAGGCAATCACTAGCAATGATTTATTGTTGATAGAAATCTATTAGTTATTCCTAACTTAATCCTTTGTGGAGATACCCTTGTCAGAAAATCCATTTATGGATAAATGGATGCAGATATAGCTAAAGATATAGATAAGGGCATTGGTGGCTCAGTGGTAGAATTCTCACCTTCCTTGTGGGAGACCCAGGTTGGAGTCCCAGCTAATGCACCTCAAGCACAGCCATCAGTTGATTGTCAGTAGAGGCTTGAGTGTTGTTTCGATCTAAACAGGTTTCAGCAGAGGTTCCAGGCCAAGACAGACTAGGAACAAAGGCCTGGAAATCTACTTTTGAAAAAAGTCATCCAATAAAAACCCTATGGATCACAAAAATCCTGTTTTGTATGGGGTTTCCCTGAGTCAGAGGTCGAGTCCACCACAGCTAACAACATGTTGTTATGTTGTTAAGTGGCATCGAGTTGATTCTGATTCATAGTGACCCTGTAAGATGAAACAGAACTGCCCCATAGGGTTCCCTAGGCTGTACAACAACATACAGATATACTGCAGGGATAAAATAATATATTTGAAAATACAAAGTGTACATAATAAAACAATATTAGCAAGATTGATCCAGTAGCAAAAACCAAACCAACCCACCCACCACCTACCAAAAAAGTAATAAAACAATAAACAAAAATGATATGGTAGAGTATAAATAAGATGACATGAGAAATGAAATTCAGAAGAACTTTACCTCAGATCTTGACAAATTTTTAGTATAAAGTGGTTTACAAACAAACATACAACAATTCAGTGTATAATTCCATACGGGAAGGCCTACAATAAAGTCAATAGATCCAGTGATATGAATGGATTCTAGAACATAGTTACTCACGACATGAATGTTGTGAATCGTCTTGGAAATCCAGATTCTGGTGACTCCTGGTAAGCTTACTTGTCTCATCTTTGTAAGTTAAGTTGTTACAGATGTTCTTAATCCTATGTGACACTTTCTTACTGAACACTGGTAACACACCCTTATAAGTTATAGTTGATGAAAACTTCATGCCAAATAAAGCACATGGCAAATCGTGAGATCAGATTCTTCAATTTTTTATATTTAGTGCCAAGGGTGTGGTTCTGCCTGTTTTAGCCTTAAATTTATCTCATCTGTAAGTAAGGCAACCTTATATTCTAAAATTGTAAACTTATGGGATAACTGAACGACGCTTCTAAAATACAGACCAGTTTATTCCTTAAAAATTATAAACTGGTTTACTCTTTAACTGATGAATTCTTAAACTGACGTGTGTGGTAAGATGTCCCTTTTAAGATGTCTCTTAAGAGACCCTTCTCCTGGCATGCCCATGCCTTGTATAATTCTTGGAAGCATGAATGTGCTGGGATATTATGCCTGTGATAGAACTATGGTATATGGAACATTTTACCTTAAGATAGGGAGATTCTCCAGGTGGGCCTGACCTAATCTCATGAGCCCTTTAAATTAGCGTCTTGAGATCAGGGATGAGATTGAAACATGAGAGAAATTAAATACAATGGAAATTCTCTGTTTCTGGCTTTTAAGATAGATGGGACCAGGCAATAAGAAATGCAAATGATCTCTAGGAGCTGAGAACGGCTGACAGCTAGCAAGAAAACTATTTCTTTACTTTAGTTTTATATGATTGCTTTTACATAATTGCACCTACAGTGTGCCTCTGTCATCAATAAAAAACAAAACAAACAAATGTGTTGTTGTCAAGATAATTCCTACTTATGGTGACTCCATGTACTACAGAATAGAATTGCTCCACTGAGTTTTCTTGGCTGTAATCTTTATGGAAGCAGATTGCCAGGCCTTTCTTCTGCAGTGCCACTGGGTTGGTTCAAACCTCCAATCTTTAGGTTAGTAGATGAGTACAAACTGTTTGCACCATCTAGGGATCACTATATCATCAGTACACACCAAGAAATATTATACTACAAAGCTCTCTAGGGCCCTTATTTTTTTTTTCAGCAGCAATGGTGTGGAAGGCATTTGCAATGACATCACATAATGCACTTTATGAAGACAAGTAGGAGAAATTTCTGGTAGAACTCAGTGTCAAAATGGATTGCAACTTCTAAGGAATCTGTTTATTTTCTGCTCTCTGTATCTTGTAACTGATTGTGTTTGTCATTTTTCTTTGCCTACTCAGAAACCTAATTTTTGGCTCAATTCTTCCCTGTTTCATATTATTTTCCCTACCTTTATATTCCTGTCACTCTAAACTCCTTATGTAGGTTTATTGAAGTATTACCATATGTGCTTTTAAAATTACCTCATATCCTTTCTGGAATGAGATGGGGTATGCAATCATAAATAACAATAACAACTAATAAAAGATTATCAGTAATTGTAGGCCAATAGGAAATTTCTTCAACTAGGGATGTTTTCCTTGCTATTACCCCTCAAATGATCTTAAAATTGAAACCAATTCTTCGCTTTCATGAAGAGAAAAATGAGTGACCACATGGTTTAAAATCATCCTCGTAAAGAAAACTATCACTGAAATAAATTAACTCAGTTTAGGGGGGAAAAAAGTGTTTAGCGATGAAGAAGCTATCAGGTTTGTCAAAGAATGAAATTTAATTTTGACAGTTTTAGGAAAAGGGAGAGAACTCAATGAAAGCAATTGTATCAGTTAACAATTGAAGAATGGATTCTTTCCACATGTCATCATTATAATTTGGTGCTATGCAGAATAATTTTAGAATATTTGTCAGTGCCCCTGTAACACCAGAAATCACTTAGGCAGAATCAAGCTAATTCTGGACCAAGGCTTCGAAATGGACGAACCACGCTAATAATTTGTATTTCTAACAAGATTCCTGTTGAGAATTTGTATTTCTAACAAAGTTTCTGGGAAGTTATAAAAAAGAACCACCTGGGGATCTTATCAAACTACAGATTCTGAATCAGTATATCTGGGGTGGAAAGGCAAATTCTCAGTAGGGGTTTGAACTGGAATGAACCAGTCTGAAGCCCTGTTTTTAGACTACTTATGAAAATCAAAGTCCACTTTATATAATGGTATATAAAAAGGGTCATAATTTGTAAATATAATAAATTGGTATAGTTTTTTGTTAATGCTAAAGGGTAGTTTGTCTCAAAATTATCTCTATATTTTTGGAACAA